AAAAAAAAAAAAAAAACATTTTAAGAGTCTACTCTGACAGAAAAAGTGCTTAAATTAACAAATTTGCCTTCAGTTGCTCAGTAAAAGTTGCTCTTCCTTAAACCGCTCTATATTCAAAACACAGCTTTACCAAAATCATATTTAGAAAAACGCAAGCAAGGAAATCATATTTCTGGGGTATGTTTAGATAGTTTATTTCGTTTCTTTTTCTTAGTGAATTATTGCCATTTTCGAAGACACACTTATGCTCAATCATACACCGTTTAACCCTTCGGCAATGATTGGGTCCAAATGACCTAATTTTCATGAAGAAACTCTTTAATTAGAGAGTTAGGTATTTTTAAATAAGCTGCGGTATTGTCTATTCATTAAAAGCATAATCAGTTGTGATCTTGTAAAAAAATTAAAGTTTTTTATTTTATTTTGTTTTTGTAGAAGGTAACATAGCCTTTCCATACAGCCAAAGTGTTTCTGGGTCATTTTGCCCCAAATTATTATTTATTATTATATTAAGGGCAACTTTGAACCGGTAAACAACAGCACTTGCCGATAAAGTGTTTGCAAGTGATAAATAAAATATTAACTGAATTCATACTGAAATATGGTTTTTTCTTTAAATTGACTTATTTCTATCATTGGATCCAAATTACCCAAAAATATTATAGGGAGGGGTAAATTCCAAAAACTGCATTTTAACCAAAATTATTATTTGCTATTTAAGGGTAATATTAAACCGGTAAGCATACAGCTCTCGCCGATATAGTATTTGCATATGATAAATTAAATAATATCTGAATTCAATAATTTTTTTCTTAAAATTGATTAATTTCTACTATTATAAAAAGGAGTAAATTTCAAACACTGCAGAAGGGTTAAGTAATACTTAACATTTTCTTTTAATGAAATTCCGTTTAAATATTTTTCGAAAATTGGTTTGTTAACTTTTTTTCAGCACTTGATTCGGTACATTAAGTTTAGCACCTTCTGTCGCACTTTTTAAAGAAATCTTTAGTTGCTAAAATAGCAGAGAGTAGTGGAATTTTTAGTTTATTTTTTGTTTTATTCAAATTGATTTCGGAAAACATTCTTTCATCATTTGCTGTAGCGACTGCAATGCAAAGGATATTTAGCTGAAACCATTTGCTTAAAATGCGGGGCTTAAAAAAATCCGAAAGAGAAATTCATTCGTTCAAATCGGAAATTTAAAAAAAAAAATTATCTTTTCTAGAAGGTAATTTATTTTAAACTATGAATCTGGCAACATTGCTCTGGAGGTAAGATAGAGCGAGAGAGAGAGGGAGAGAGAGAGAAGAAAAGGCGAGAGCAAAAAAGGCAGAATCAGCATTCGGACTACTGAAATTCGATTCGGGAGTAAATGACTCGAAAAATCGGGGTAAAAACGAAGATTTCGCAACAGATTTACATTATTTTATTAAATAGTATAAGGAATCATTTTTACATCTTTAGGTACTTTTTCAGATCGTCACAGTTTTTTTTTTATAATAACGCATTATTTGCATTTTCTTAATAAGAACACTTGCAAACATTAAGCTTTCAAATGTTTCGACATAAAGCATATTTATTCCTGTATTAATTTTTAATAAGATTCATCTCTGAAAATTTTCTTTCGTCAGCGGCACTACTGTGCGGTAAAATAGCTAATGTCAGCATATACTCTGCCAAATTGCTAGACATACACCTTTCCAAAACATTTTTCTGGTCCTTAATTAATCCCTTGCTTTGGGAAATGAAAAGTTATTGAGCAAAAATTTAAGAAGTTAATTTTTTTGCACTATATTCTTAATGTGTATGGAAAAGTAAAAAAAAAAAATCTGGGCATATTTTAGGTCAAGCGGATTAGGGAGTAGACTTTAAATTTAAAAAAGAAATCGGAATAAATCTACTCCAATCGGAGCAAAGTCCGGATGCTGGTCAGAATTCAGAAGAACATGCGCGATATTTTAATAAGGAACGAGAAAGTAATCGAATGAGAAAGCGAGCTGGCAAAATATAGAGCGTCACAGATCTATCAGATCGAGTTAAAAAAAAAGTTGAAATGTAAAATTTGTGCTTAATATTTTTGAATCGTATGTACTAGATTCAGCAAAGGAAGCCATAAAATTGGCTTAAAGAATTATTTACTGCTGATAAAAATGTTTTTTAGCTACATATATCGTAAAATATGATTAGAATCCTTTATGTTGCTTGTTTCTAGCTTGGCTGCGATCCAAAGACTCCTTCATTTGTTTGATACAAAAAGGTACTTAATATATTAGGTACCAGCGACTCAAAGTCTTAGTTGCGGGCTTTATGAAATCAAATGCACTTATACCATAAAGCGTTTAATTTTGAACTTAGTTTATGTGAATGGGCTAAATAAGAAATACCTGCGCCTTCTAATTAGCAGATTTCCTTAATAAGGAATCTTAAACTTAATAACCTCCATTTTAAGGCATCCAATACGAATTAAAAGTGATGTTTTTTAAATTTTATACTTCAAACTGCATATCTGATTTTTGTTTTTACAAACCGCAAAAACGCACTATGGGTAATTTGACCAATTTTGTGAACAAAATTAATTATGACACAGCAACCTTTTTATTTTTTACAGGGTTCGTATTTGCACACACATGCTCTGCTCACACACACGCCAGAAACACATTCAACTTGCACTCACTGCTCATACACATGTGTGTGCATAAGTGGAAAACAAACTCTACTCACAGAAAAGTGTGTGCTGTTTGTTATTAAGCACATGCACATGTGTGTGAGCCGATTTTTGTACAAATTTCAGCCCATGCACATGCACATAATATCTGTGTTCGTATGGAAAAGTAGCTTATGTCGAAAGGCCGGCTTTAGTATAATGCGGCATTCCCTTTATTTTTTAAACGACAAGGAATTTTTTGATGAGACTTAAAAAGAATATTGACTTGCTAGTATCGGAACTATTTCTTGCAAGTTTATTTGCTAAAAGTTGTTTAACGGCTTAGCGCCCGTAAGTCATTCGCAATCGTATGCTGCGAATGCCGATTTATACTAAAGCCAGCCTTTCGACATAAGCTACTTTTCCATACGAACACAGATATATTCTTTAAAAGAATTTGTTTATTAAACGTTATTTTTTGAAAGACAATTCAATAAAAAGTGAGATGTTGTTTGTTTTTTATATGACAGAAAACATAATAAAAAATTATTTTAAGATTTGAGTTAGAATTCGAAGTGTATAAGTTTCTCTACGCATAGCACACACATGTGCGTGTGCTTTACCTTAATAAAAAGAAAGTACACACATGTGCCCGTGCTGTTTACCAAACGGCACACACATGTGATGTGAGCAAATTTTTAATTTTTTATATGCACAGCACACGTGTGTGAGCTTAAAATGTTAGGATGTGCTGCACATGTGTGTGCAAATACGAACCCTGATTTTTTATTGATTGGCACGCGATTCCTCACATTTTTGCACAAAAAAAAAATCTTGACCCTTGACGATCGATGGGCAAAAAGAAGTCACTTTTTAATTTTCAGTTTCATTGAACAAGTTTGAACCTCTTATTCAAAATATTTATTTTAAACTTTATGCAGTCGCCAATTAAAAATAAAAAAATTGCCAAATTATATCAATATATATGTAATTCATGTGTACATACGGGGTGCTCCAAAAACAGCAAAGTCGGAATTTTAATTTTTCTATATCGAAAAAAAGTATGCCCGTATTTTTTTTATTTTGAAATCAAAAGATATTTAAAGATAAATATTTTTTGATTTCAAAATAAAAAATAAAGGTTTATATTTTTTTCGGTATAGAACAATCCCAGGGGGTGAGAGCATAAAAATTCCGACTTTACTTTTTCACATGCATTTTTGGACCACCCTAATGTACATACATATATATCAATTAAAAACATTAAAGCTTTGGATTTCCAAATTTCTCTGCTGAAAAATTAAAAGGAGCAGCCTTTGCAGCAACGAAATCGTAAACAGCCTTTTGTTTCCTCTGTCTCGGTCAAACTCGGTCAAATATTAAGATAATATATTAATTTTTAACTTAAATATGGCTGGTCGAAAACAGCCAAAAAGCAGAACACAAAAACGATTACAATATTTGACACGCAGACAACGGCTTTCACCACCTGCAAGGCAGTTGTGTTTTTTTTTTTACAAAAACAAAAGACGCCGTTATAGTTTATTTTTGGAAGTACGAAAAACGACTTTTGGCCACATAAACTGATCAAATTACCCATAGTGCAACGTATAGTTGTCAATGCTTGAGACATATCACAACAACTCCTTATTTTATGCTCGACCATGAAAACTCAATACTAAACCTACATTATGTACGTGTCTCTTGTATGAGGTATCTCATAAACATATTTACAGCCAAATTTAATTTAGAATTAAAAAAAAAAATGCATTCCTGAAACTCGTAAAAAGTATACAGCACATACGTAAGCTAACAACTAAGCCAAATCTGAGTTAAATATAAAAAAAAAAGAATCGCATTCCAATTTTAACGCTGAGCCAATCCATTTGGGCATGCAAATTTCAAAACTTTGCTTTAGTATAGGCATTGCCGACTAACTGCTTGAATACAAATACAAAATAGCATTCCATTTCAATACGAAAATTTCTTAGAAAAAACTCGAGCATGCTTTCCGAAAAATTGAACAAATATTCATTATACTTATGTACTCGTCTGACTGACTGTATTTTTAATTAAAGTTCTCTGTAGCATTTTGCGGACACCTTACCTTAATATCACCACCGCCTGGAGTATGCTTGACATTATCCTTTGAACCGACTTTTGGTTTAGCCTTATCTTTGAAGTCCGTTTTAATCGTTTCGATCTTCTTATCACCGCCACCTGGCTTATGATTGGCATTCTCCAAAGAGCCTATTTTCGACTTGGCATTCCATTGTAGCTTTGTCGATATAATCTGTGTTGCCCGTAATATTGCAAATTAATTTAAAATAACTGTTGTTTATGATACATTTAAATGTGTATAAATAGTTGAAATATATGTATGTGTCTATGTATGTATTTAAGTATTAGGGTGGTCCTTAAAAATATCAACATCTACATTTTTTGTAGTGCACCCGTTTATTTTGTTCTATACACAAAACAAAGACATCCGCGAAAATTTCAAAATTGTAAAAAAAAATGTAGAGGTCGCTACCAGCGTTTTGAAAAATTTTAATTTTTTTAAATAGGTAAGATCTACTTTTTCAAACCCTGGTAGCCATGATGTAATAATAAAAGGTGGCAGCTTGTTTCGACGCCCCTTAGCTCAAGGTTGTATTTGGTAAGCTTATGACGCACAAGAGAAAGTGGAAGAAAAGAAGGTCGTTTGTCGAAATAGTACTTAATTTAGTACTAATTTTCAAAACGGCGATTTTGGATAATTTTTTATAAAAGTTTTGTATAAACATAAGCAAAATGATTTATGTATCTCACGGAAAACGTGTAAAATAAGGTTTACTAAGTTTGAATATCAGATTTTTTATATTTTTTAAAGTTTCATATATTGTATTTTGACATCAATATGTACTGAAAAATGTATTTAATTAACCTATCTTTTCGTATAAAAGGAATAACTAAAAAATTTGGGAATGACTGAGTTTACTATTCGCAGTAATATTAAAAAGTAGTTTCTCAAGGAGACAAATAAAATTTTTCTAAGTTAGCTTAAGTTTGCGGTTAATGCGAGATGAACGCGATTGCATAACAACTTTTTTTTGCATCATGCCTCTAATTTTTATTTTTTTATTTTGAAATTATCGTGGTGGTCTTTATGTTGTACATAGAACAATTATTGATATTTTTAAGCACCACTCTGGCAAGTATAATAGATAGTGTTTATGAATCATATGGTGTTTTGTTTTTGTTTTCAGCTTTTTTTTCGCTATGTAATTGTACATATGTATGTCATTAGAAACCTGAATTGGAAATTGAAGATTGCCGCAGATGTTGCGATTGATCAATGTATGTTTCTAACCTCAAAAGTTGAGCTCGAAGAAATTTAAGAGCCAAAATTATATCAAAAAAAAATCATTAGCGATTTTTGTTATTTATGCTTGTATTTGCTTCCGTAAACTATGTACATGTGTATTTCAGTTTTTAGTTTTCTTTATCTTGTCTAAGGTTTTTTTTATTTTTTGTATATATGGAGCGGAGCGCAGATACATGAAATAAATCGACCGTTAAAGTAGTGTACTACAAATGTTTAATGGTGTCTGAAATCATAACGCAACAATCGGCGAACTACTGAACTGTGAAATTGCCTCATCACAATAAGTATACCAAAAATTAATAATAAAAAATTATTTTAAACATCTACGCGAAAAAAGTGAAGAATTTCACAAATTAAAGCATCGTAGCCTATAACTATTTGCAAATGTGGGATTGTTTATCCTGAGTGTATTCAATACTTAGAGTGAGCTCAATACTACATACTTTAGTGTGATTATGCTTTAAAGACTACTCAAAATAGTTGCACCTACATATGTAAGTGTTTAAATGCAAGTAAATATTATTAATTAAGACAAATTATCAAAACTTGTTTTATTTTTATATTAATTTCAAATATGTTGAAAAGCTTAGACCCGTTTAAAGCCTTGCTTTAAAATATATTTCATATACTTATTTATATTTTATTTCCAACCTCCTAATCTTACCTTTTTTTCGCCACCACGTGGCGTATACTTGTCATTTTTCGCCTCAATTCTGGGTGCGGCTTTTATTTCGATCTTCTTACTCTCGATTTTAACATTACCTCCACCGGGCTTGTAACCAGCATTGTCAAGCGAACCGATTTTAGAACGCACCGCTTTGAGATTGGGTGAAGGAGCGTGTCCGACTTGAATTTTGTTCATTGATACTGTCAAAGAAAGCATTAAGTTTATTTATTTATTTTTTATAGTTTTAAGATTTGAAAATATATAGAGTCAACTCATATGGGGAATACTGAATAAAATAACACAAATATAACCGTATACGTTAAAAGAAGCACTAATTATTGTTAAATGGTACAGACTTTTAATTATAGATTCCCAATCCAAACAAAAATGCTTTTTTCTTTACCAAGCAGGTTTTAGTTGCAGTGTAATATTGCTGTACCCAAAGAGAAGTTTCTAGGGCTGGATTCTGTAACTGTGGGAAAATGCAGTGTACCTAGCCCGAGTGCAAAATTCACAACCAAAAACTCACGGAATAAAATCCACTTCCCATATAACGGTATTTTCGAAAAATGTAAAAACTACGATATCTCAGTAAATATGTACAATCTAAATTGTTGAAAATTAATATGTGAAGTATAATTATGGTAAAAAATAATATTATGAAATTTTTGGAAAATGGGCGTGACTCCTCCCACTTATGATGAAATGCTGTATCTCAGTAGCCGCTTCACCAATCCTTACCAAAATCGGTCCGAGCCTTGTTTAGGGTGCAACTAGAAAATCTTTTGAAAATCTTTGAAATCGGGCAATAACCACGCCCACCTCTCATAAAGCATGAAAACTACGATAAATTAGTAACTATTGAAGCAAATTCACTCAAAATCAATGATTGCAACAATCACTTAGCAAAAAATTTGAATATTATACATTTTTGGATAAATAATCGGCTTGGCCCCGCCCTCTTATGACCACAAATGTGTATCTCGGCAACCGATTCATCAAATTTAACCAAAATTGGTACACCTTATAACCTTGGTACGCAAAGGCAATTTTCTGAAAATTATTCAAATCCGACTAAAATTACATTTCCTTCCCTTCCCTTCCTTCCTTCCTTCCTAAATTTCAAAAATATGAAAACTCTGATATGTATTTCAAAAACCGAGGACACTTATTTGCCCCATTCTAATATGTACTACCAACAATCTTTTAACAATAAATAAGACTGTTATAGACTTTTAGAAATTGGGCGTGGCACCGCACACTTTATGACTAGAATGGTCTATCTCGGTAACCGCTTTATCGATTTCTACCAAACTTCTTGGTTCAATGATTTCATTAAGTCAGCATATTATTGAAAAAATCGGGAAAAACACCCCTGCTTATCATGCAAAGACGATATTTTATACCTGCGCCGGGTATATAAAATTCGGTATCGCCTGAACTCATACTTCTCCTACTTGTCTTAAGTTAGGATAGTACCCCCAAAATCCGTTTTTCTGAAACATTTTACCACCAACTCTTACACCCTTACTTCTGCCGTTCACATTAAATTTTGAGCTTTGGTGCATTTAGAAACGTAAAGTAGAATTTTGAAAATATTTTTGTGTATTCGGGGGTTTTTTGTATGAAAACTGTACTAAATATTTGTTGGATCGCAAAAATAATTTCAAATTCGGATTCCTCGCACCAAAAAACGTTCCGATACGAATTTTCAGAGCAATCGAAAATCGTAAAATTTCGGCCAAAAAACGGGTCCCGCCTAAAAATTTGAATTTGATATTACTCGATTAAATGACCTAACCTACAAAATGACTATCACCACTGAATTGAAAATACTCGAATTGAGTTTACTAGGTAGGCCGTCGGGATTATTCGTGGAGAGATACGTGGAGATACGTGGACGATATTGAACAAAGAGGAGACGACTTTTGGGAGCTTTCGAGAGAACTATACATTTCGTGCAAAAACTAATAATATATATATCATATCATGGCTCAACAAAAAAAAATTTTGTGCCACAGCCAATAAGCAATGTTTCTTATAACATTTGTTTCCGCAGCATCAAAATTTAAACTTCAAATTTTTAATTTGGCTTAAGTTTATAAGATATTTGCCATTTTCTACTACAACTTACACCTATGGCAGCACGTAAAAAACAATTATGTAATTGATAAAAAAAAAGTTAGAAGAACTTCTTCGTTAAATTTGCAAACTTTGTTGAACCGACTTCAATTTGTCGGAAATTTTTTCTTTCTTTATTGTGTATGCTAACGGATAATTTTGAACCATGTGAACCATTTTCGATCATTCTTTTTTTATCGGAAAAGTGGTAACTCAAGGTTGATTCCACACTTATTTACTTTAGTTCCGTACATTGTATAATGAAGAGGTTAACAGTAGTTTTTTTGCCTTGTATTTCGTGAATGTTACTTAGTTTTTTTTTCGTTTTGGGCTTAAGTGGCAAAAATTAGGCTTTGTTTTTGTCTATTAAGAAGACTACGTGTCGATATTCTATAGATGTAGTTAACAAATGCTAAACATTGTTTTTTGACACTATAAATCTGGACTACCCTGAAAACTAATTCGAAGGCCAGTTTCTTATTCTGTGAAAAAAGTCCTATAGGAATGATATATCTGTCGCAAACATTTCTTGGCCAAGCGCCAGTTTTATGAGTATTTCTATTAAAATGAAAGTATGTATAGTTGTGTTTAAGCTCACAAAGAATTCGTCTAAAAGAAAAAAATGCAACATTTCCATATGCAATATATACCAGATGCATTAGACCACCTTTCCACCCTTCTAAATTCGAGGAAAATATTTTTGTATTGAAAAACGCAACAATATGAACTACAAAGTCGGGGATGCTCTATCTTTTGGTCGGTTTCGACCGCAAGTGGGAAAAATACTTTTTCCAGAAATAAATTTCCGACAAAAGTTATGTATTTTTGTACCTACTATACTTTCATTTTTTTTTTAACGTCTACACTAGGCATTTTGTTGTAAGTGCGTACCTACATATATGTTATGATCCAACTTACCTTTTTTAACTGGCTCCGGTTCGGGAGTCTTCAACAGCAAACGATTTCTAGATGTGGAACGTGATTTGGACGATTTGTTCGATGGTGTGGCGCTAGGTGGGCGAGAGGCGGCTCCTTTGTCTCCCTTCGAAGTGGTGGATGTTGGTGTCTTGGCCGGTGAGCTGGGTGAACCGGGTCCGTTGCGTTCCTAAATAAATAAGAATAAATAAATAAAATTATACGGTAGTAATTCGGTTTATGTCCATGTGTCCATGTATGTATGTGTAAGTGGGTACGTATTTTTCCCATTTCGACGCGTTATAAATATGCTTTATTATAATTGAAAAATTCGTGTCAGCTATAATCACCAAATGCATTTTTTCACGCATTGCAAATTTTATAAAATAGTCAAATTGGTTTTTTTATTATTTTTATGTTTTTTTTTTGTATTATTTTTATTATAGTACACTCTTAGCGTTCGATTTGCAAATTATTTCGACTTATTTCGCTACACCGCGCTTGTACACTTCGACATTTCGACTAATTTGAGCATTATGACTTCAAAGGACGAATGTGATTTTGCTTGGAATTCTTTCACATTGTTTTATCGATTCAACTCGACGCAAAGTGTACCACTTTTGGTATTTTTAGTGTAAAAGACAGTTGAATAAAAAAAAAAATACTCGTATCATGCAAAACAGGTAAAAGAAAAACTACAATACGAGCAAAACAACAGCAAAAAAAAGACAAGGAAACCTGCGAAAACATAAATAATATGCCCACACCCTTGGCGCATCAAGGCTGATTTTGGCGCTGGCGTTGTTGGCCCTTTCCAGCTGGCACAGATACTTGTACGGACGATTGCACTCCTCTGCCCAATTACGATGTTTCGTTTCCTTTCATTCTCATCGATAAACATTTGTTCTAAATTATCTTTTA